GAATCGCTGAAAACTGTTTTCCAAAATTCGCAGCGGGTAGTGTACAGCATCGATTTCTGTGGAACCCAGTAGCTGTCAAAACTTTCACATTTTTATGAATAACTCGGAAATCGTAAATTTTTCAGGTAAAACGGTTGAAACAAACATAAATTAAAATTGAACGGCCAATCTGAAAATAACAAAAAAAAGGGGGGGTTTCATTTAAAAAACCAGAGTTGGTAACTACCACACGTTTATGATGCACCCTGTATATTGGAAAGTAATTTTAGAATGTGGACCTTTTAAACGTGAAAAACTTTCGTTGGACGAATTTTCTTGTAAACTTCATATTTACTGAGATATCGCACTTTGACGCACTAATGAGCAACCCTGTATATTATAGTTCGGTTTCACATAGGAGAGCAAATTTCGATTCATAGCAAAAATAACTTCAGTTTGTAATACGTAAACGTATTTTGTTTGTTTTGAAGTATAGGTAAGTGGTTCAGTATTTTCTTTCTTTTAAATAGCTTCCACCTTAAAGTGTCCAAATTATAAAGCTTTCTTCAACGGTTTTCGAAAGTTGAAAGAGTTTGATGATTTTTAGACAGAAAACCTAGCAATAATTTGATGGTTGACTAAGACCTAATGGATGTTGATGATGTTGGATGGAGATCTAAAAACGTTTCACAGATGTGCTCGAAACAACCAGTCTCTAATCCCAGGATCATCCCATACATGACCCGAACAATCCAAAAGTATGTCCCATGGACGTCTCACGTAAATATGGGGAGGGAATAGATATCCGAGGGACATCTCAGGGACCGAGGTGTGTTTGCTGGGGTAGGAATTCTATCCGAAGTTCCGTTTGACGTCACAGCCAGTAAAACCGAATTCTGGCTTGACGTTATTTTTAAAGCAAATATGGTAATTTTCCATTTTTTTTCTAATTTGCTATTGGCATTCTTCTAAAAGACCCGCCTGCTAATGTTTGAAGATGGTTCAATCACAAAAAATTATTTGCAAAGACCCTACTCTTGTTAAAACTTTTAGGGTTGATAGGGAACAACAAAAGCAGTTTTTTCAAGATACAGGGTGCTAATTTATTTTTTACTGGAGCAATAGTTTTGTTAGAAATAAATTCACGCCCTCTAATCGCTCTTTCGGCAGTTGAACTATTAATTCACAGTCTCTGAGTTTATTTGTGTTCAGTACCAAAACTTCTGCCATCATTCTTACGCTTTCAAAATTACATAATATACATTACTCAGGCTCATCTTGTTATTCGGTCCGGGCTCTCCAGCGACATTTTCTTCTCAGTATCGACTTCTTGCTCTCAGCTACCTCACTATGTTCACGTGCCTTGTCCGGTCTTCCTGAAGTTGGCTGCTATCACAATGAAAAAAGCTGCATTGTACGGTCTACCGCCAAGTGAAAAACCCGAATATTTCAGAGCCACGACTGTTGCTTTCTTCCAACTCCACGGCCCCCTCAATGTTGCCCTTTAGTATGAGCTGTAATGGACGATATTTATCACGTCTCAAAATATGTCCAAGACCTGATGGCTTTAGGACAAGGCAATGGGAAACCACCTTGATTCTTTCTCATTCGATCTTTTTAAATAAAATTTGTAATTTCAACACCTGTGTCTCTAAAACTCTGTTTTCAACATATATTTCTCAAGCAAAAAAGCTAGTTCTGATGTCCCCTATCACCCCTAAAAGTTTGTCGGGCATACCTTGTATTCTTGAAACCACACTCTTCAGCTTCTCTGGCAATTTTTTCCTTTGGTTACTCCGGCAAAGTTTCTTTTCTTTTGAAAACTAAACCTTAATTCAGAGCTTTTCATGTGTTCAAACCATATTAATTTATGGTTATTTTCAAATTTTTCTAAACTTGTGCAAATTAAAACAGTTACTTTCTAAAAAAAAAACTAACAATTTATTAGGATAAACTGCTAAGTACAAGCTACACACTCAACTGTATTTAAAATCACAGATTAAAGAAAAATACATACAATGCCGGTGTTACGGACAGTTATTTAAAGAGAATTTATTCAACATGTGGTCACTCTCAAACGGACTATCAAAACATTTGTAAAAAATGTCGAAAATAAATGACTAACAATGCTTGTAGAAAAAGATGCACAACTGCAATGGTACAAGAGAAAACAACTTTAATATAGACGCATTTATCATTATAAATCTATTTTAACATTGTGCTAAGAACCTCATTTATTCGGTCGAATAGTAACTTTAAGCATTCATGATTGGTCTCAAATGGGAACAAATAAAAGATACTAAACAAGGTATAAAAATTGTTTATTATATATCCTCCTTATAATTTCATCAGTATTCATTAAACACACCACAAAAATTGAAAGGCTGAACTAAATGTTACACAACTAATAAGGTACCAGTCTATATCAATCATATCTTATTCCTAAAAATGAGACCAAACACTTATGCTAGGAAAATGCGCATACTGGAGGACGCAAATACTGTATCATAGTAACACTGAATTAAACTTTATAGTTTCATTGTTTATTAAGAATTATATTTATGTAAGTATAATTCGGATTTACTGATAATATATTTACTTATTATCCAGATGTGTATACCCAGTAGCAACACTTTCAGAACCTAAAAACCCACTAAGATTGTAATTATCACAATCTAACAAATAAAATTGCAGATACACAAATGTTGAAAAAACTCCATGATTTTTAATTTTTAAATTGAATTCATTGCACAGATGTATCTTCAATTGACCACTATTTTAATAAATCAGCATATTAAAAATGTAAAACTAGATGAGCGTAACGTTTAAATCAAGGAAGTATGATAAAGATTAAACCTAAATTTGATAATAATTAATTAAACGTAGTCTGAAAACTACGGTTTAAATGTTTTTTTCTAAATAGGATAGAATATATAAACTATACAGATTTATTTTACATATTCCATCTTATTTAGATCACACAAATCCACTCGAAAAATGCATATACGAATCATTATTAACATATTTTTTGTGAGTTCTGAGCATCAGACAAGAAATTTTGCCATCACTATACCAATCAATTAACGCGCATATTGGAATACTTCTCAATTGAATGCAAACGCCCTTGCTCCGAATGCGACATAGCATTGGTTTTTTAAACTGATTATCAAATTTCAAAATGTAGCATTTTAACAAACGTTGCATGTTTACAACTTCGAATAAAATAAAACGGCAAATAAACCAACACTGAAAATTGTCATCGAATGTACCTACTTAATAAAGTTTACAAGCGGATTCATGGTATTTATACCACATAAACCAGGGCTTGCAGCGTTGGTTTACGACTGTATATAAGCGTATTATAGAGTTCTAAGCCAATCCGCACGCTGCATTCTCTCTTATTATAACTAGAAAAATACTTCAAATAAAAAACACCCAACGACTTTATTTTGAACGCACCTAAAGGATTTGAAAAGAAAATACTTGCAACATAGCAAGCGTTGTCTAATGTGAAAAACTGTGCGAGCCTATCAGAGTACGGTTTCAACACACATTTTTTGACACTACACAACGGACGGGTGCACTCATTTAAACATGGGGGACTCGGAAATATCGGGACGAAAATTACTGCTTACTGACGTCGCTGGTAGTTATTAGGTCCCCCACGGTTTGCCGGACCTCCGCCGCTTCTATAAAGAACGAAAAATACAATAGTTGGACGTTAGTATTCTATTAAATTTTCAAAAAATGCAATTATTTCCCACACTATACATTTGAACTGATTTTAACAGAACCAGTCAAATATCTCGTAAATCATAGCAAATACAAGAAAATGTGTTATACAAATGTTGTGTAATTAGAAGAGATCCGCAAGTGGTATCAACATTTTAATAGATAGCACTGCTAACTCAGGCCTGGGACTTTCCGTCGGACTCCAGAGTACCTTCCGTTGATGCTCAATCAATCAGATCGGTGCAGGATCGGAAAGGGGAAGGCATACATACATCTCATACACGCTTCAGTCTTCGTTCAATTTTTTGGCTCCGATAGTCATATGCAGTTGTCATTCGCTAATCGAAGGGCAAGGCTCTATTGCAGCGGGTTTGGGAAAAATTTTTGCGAGTGTGAGTGACTTGGCCATGGTGGCACCTTATCTAAGCAATGAAGATGTTTGAGGGAGAACAAGGGAAAACAGGTTTTGGGTCCATGCTACTTGGAAAACCAGACCTCATGAAGAAGAGTTTTTGTCACTTTTCGCTCATCTGTTGGACGACGAGACGAAATTTTATCAATATTTTAAAATGTTGGCGTTTAGTCTTTCGGAAAAACAACTGTTCCAAATATTTCCTCACATCTTCAATTAGCTCCTCACGTTTTATTAAACTCACTTTTTGAATTTTAATTACCTTAATAATTTTATATACACCTCAATACTTCTTTATGTGGCATTAAAAACTATCCGGATTCAGCAGTAAAAACATATCAATCCATATTAAAATGGGAGGCATCAAACGTTAGCAGCGCAATCTACCAAAATTTTTATGTCGCTATCGGGTTCACCTATGCAAGTACACACGCGGTTTCTGTTATTTTCTATAATTTACAAGATGTTTCAGCATACTCCCATTTACACCCTGTATATATTAACTTTCGATTACTTGAACAAACTAAGCAAAAATGGGTAAAAAAATATATTGACGTAGTATATTTCAATTAATAGAAAACACAAGATTGTAGAATGCGAAGTTCTGCAGCTTTAACATAAAAACGTCGTAAATACTGACCTATTATTGTATCGATTGTCTCTATCTCCCGTTCGATTTCTATCTCCAGGTCCTTGAGTTCCTTGAGGTCCTCCAGGAATTCCACGGGGTCCGCCAGGACCCATTCCTCGCCTTTGGGCATCTCCTCGGCCACCACTTCTAAAATTAAGAAGTGTGCTTTAAAAACTACTAACTTTTTGAAAAAATCACCAATGAATCAAAATAAAGATATTGCACGCAATGTATAAAAAAAATAATTACCTATTATCCATCCCTGGTCTACTGTTTACGCCGTATGATGGACGGTTGCCATCCCTCTCCTTATTTTTCTTTTCTTCCACATTCATTTTAGTTCCATTGGGATCATTGCGGGGATAGAAGATAGGCTGTACAACAGGGAAACAAAAAGTATAATTTCTCTTAACAAAATGTTCAATAGCCAATTGAAAACCCCTTTTCTCTGACTACTCGTGAAGTACGTACCTTAGCTGCCAAACATGCCATTACAGACTGCTGACTGTCGTAGGTAATGAATCCGTAGTTGGGAGGAAGCCTGGACTGACCAACTTTAGGTCCATTGGTAGCTGGTTTACTGTGCACTCTGAGGTCCACAACTGTCCCGAATTCCCCAAAAATTTCTCTTAGTTCATCATCAGTAGCAGAGTGTGGCAAATTTCCCAAAAACAATTGATTGGCATCTAACTGGCCGCCAAAGTTCGATGATTGGGATCTTCGCCGATCTTCTAAAATAAATAATTGTAAAATGTTAGAAATAAATGATATAAATGATTCAACAGTTTAAAAATTTATCAGACTATGAAGGCTTTCACTGCCGGTCAGATTATATTTAGAAATGTTTTCCGGGCTTTGAAGCCGTGGTCTATCAGAATTTCTTCCTGACGTTTCGTCCACAACTGCGGTGGACATTTTCAAAGGCGATGAGGCAG